GGGTGATACAGTAACCCTGTAGTCAGAAACCATGTTGAGCGCCAGCAGGTCTGAGCTTTGCTGAGAGGTTACAACTTCAACGAGGAGATCTCCAGATGGCATTTTTTTTGCTTTAAAATTCTTTCCGATGATCGATTCAAGAGTCTTAGAGACCAGGAAAGGGGATAACTTGGATAACGGTTTTTCCGTTTCGGAATGCATGACGAGAAATCGGGGAAACTTCTCCACGGGTGCAAATGCTTCTCTTACGTGTACTTCGGTCCGGACCCTTTTCAGGGCCCGATCAGGTTTTTGGTTTAGTTTAGAACCCATAAGAAATGGGAAGGTGTTCGGCATCTGTAGCGCACCACCCACCACGGAGCCCAACATGGGGATAGGTAATGCGCCATAGCAATAAGGGTTTTGCTGACGACATTACGCTATCAGTGCTGCCAAGACACTATAACCTAGTGTGGGTCCAGACAAGGGGTCTATCGCCACCCAAGGTTAGCCCTCGCCGCCAAAGATGGTGAATATGAATGAAGGAAGAGTAGAGAAAGGAGAAAGATAAGAGGGGATAGTAGAAGATATGGCGACTGACTGAATCATCCTGGTCGGGTCAAGCCAGGACACCCGTCTACGGGAAGCGGGGGCCGAAGTGGTGTATTGTCTCACCCGGGGGGCCCCGAAGGGTCCAAACCTACCCCGGGCTCGACTCAACCACCAGGATGCCCTTTTCCCCGGACACGGGAAAGCCACGCACAGCCAGGCGTGGGCGGGCAAGCCCGCATGGCTCGGGGTCCGTGGAGACGCCACTCTCCAAACACCTGCTTTCACAGGTGCCCCCTGCGGGGCCGACCAGTAAGATAAAAGGTGAATGATGTGCATTGTGGTGAATGGTGTGCATGTGCCCAAGATCAAGCCACAGCAACAAAAACTGCAAACTGCTCTTGCCCGGAAGAGAAAGTGCCGGTTCGGCCATCCGCATTGCAGGTTATGGAGGCACTTGGTGTCCCACGCCTCGCTTCCCGCAATGTTCAACACAAAATCTGATGACTATTACTTTCCAAGAAGCAGAAGACGATTACAGGTCTTCAAGTAGCAAGTGCCAGAATGCACTGCCTGAATGAATTCCAGAAACACTAGCCTAGCTCTAGGTGTTCCTGCAGACTTGGATTTTAAGAGAAACAAAACCAATGAGGACCGAACTATAATCAGAAAAAAACATGCAGCAGCATTCTGCTCCATGAAACGAGTGCACTCCGGGCTCCCCTGGGAAAAGAGTGCAAAAGAGAGTGGCAGAAAAGCGGCGAAAAAGAAACAGACTCCTCAGCCACAACAGGTTGTCACGAGCTGGTGCCAGGGCTATGCTCGGCGCTGCCGCGTTCCAATTGTTTTGTTTTCTGCACGCTCAGTCTACTGCGTCTTGCGCTCCACCAGGCTACAAGAAAGTCGCATTTACACCGCAACCACACAAAATGCCACCCACAAGTAAGACATCTATGGAGTGCTCACGCGCTTGCCTTGCACGACACATGGTCGCTTCGCACCATACAATCCCCACAATGTGTACACAGTTTCTCCACACTGACACGTATAACTCCAATCTACCACTGCCTTTTCAACGCTAGTATGGCAAACAGGCAACATTTTTTCTCAGCCACTCACAATCACGACACAGAACTTGGAATACAGTCGAGCCCGTTTACGGTCGAGACCGGTTATAACGAAGAACGAAATCACTTCGCTATATCCGCTTCTTCGTTATAACCGACTTCGGTCAACGAAGTGCAAAAAAAAATGGGAAATCGTGGTCGCTTCGCTGTAGCCGTATTTCGTTATAATCGACTTCGTTATAACCGGTCTCGACAGTATAACGAATTCCGTTGGACACAACAATTAGTTTGATATAGTGGGTAGTTCGTTATATGAAAACTTGCATAAAGAGAATTTTAAGAACGGGAGTTCGAAATACACAATGTAAAATTAAATCTACAACAGACACTGCTTGTTACACGGCCTTTTGGTGTCCCGCAAGAAAATTCTACAATCTCGAAAAACTAACTGTAACGCTATCGGCAGACTTATAGATAGAACGATAAACAACTTTAGTACAACAGTTAATTCCATCCTCCGAACTGGAGCACTTGAACTTGTGTGGGGAAGTGGAGATCATTCATCTTCTTGCTGCTAAGGAAACGGCAAAATATGCACAAGTCTGGGACGAGCCTGAAATGTATCGATATGCCTATGCTCTTTCGTTTGGGCTTCGAGTTGCATCACACTAAAGAGACGTAATTTCATTTTTAAGATGTCGAAATCGGAAAAAAGTTGGAACAGGCACAAACATGTCATGCCTAGTGCGGGCAGGAGCGCAAAATGAAAAAGAGCAGTGCTTACAGAAATGCTGCAACCTGAGAAGATCACCGATCAAACAAAAATGCAACGCGCGCGCTGCATGTGCTTTCGTTTGCTGCATGTGCTTTCGTTTTTGGCTCACTAGCATAAGAAGTCCACAGCGTGCCTAATGCAGCCGCGCAGCTAACGAAAACCGCACTCCACCTTTCACCAAAAATGATGATCAGAGGCTACCACTTGGGGAACAGAAAAGGCTGTTCTCCTTAGCATGTTTTTAAAAGGGCGCAGAAGCAAGAATTCTTTATTGAGTTACGGGGTCTGCATTGCTGCAAAAAAGGTACCGAGGCAGGTTTTAGAACCGTTTCTATTCATTTATAATAATGGGGCCGGAAAATCGGAGGTTCTGAGCACAGATTTCAAGGAACCACGCATGGAGCGCCTTTTCCCCTTTATCAAACGCGGGCTCTCGTAGGCGCTTCCCAGCAGCGTTGAATCGATCCCGACACTTTTGATGGATGGCTGCCTTGTTCTTGAATATGTTACTCAACATACTTCGGGGAATGCTGTACACTGCGGCGACGTCTGATCTTTTTTCACTGTTCTCAGCGCACCGAATTAGGCCCCGTTTGTCCGAAAATGGTAGAGAGCGCCACTGCTTGGTTGCCATTTCTTACGAACATGCAGGGGGTACACGGGGGCACACGGCGTTCAAACAAAAAAGTAAACTGCCAACAGGGCGTGCACGGAAACAAATGCTGGTAGACTAAGCTTCAAGATGGATGGCCAGGAAAAAAACAATTGCGCCTTTCACGAGTTTGGTCACACCGGTTTGTGCCAGCTGACAGGTCGCAGCTGTTGAATCTTGCCGCACAGTTTGCTTGGTGCATGGGGAAGGGGGCATGATTTTTGGTCATGCAAAGGATCAGGATTGTTTAAAGGGGCCCTGCAATGACTTTTTGACTGGTTTTTAATTTGCCCTGAACCAGAGCGTACTGAACAGAGTAACTTAATCCAACTTTTCTTTTCTCAAATTTCGCTTTATTTTAAAAGTTATAGGCAAATTAGAATTACAAAAACAAGCAAAAAATAACCTCCTTCATGACGTCGTAGGTCCTGCCTTGAGTGGCCTTGAACTAGAGGAGGAGTAGTGAGCTCATCGAGCGTACACGGCTGCCGCACTCCGTGTCGACGGCTCGAGAGGGCGCCACTAAAGCACGTGTTGGATAGGCTGTATGAAGCGGGCGGCCAGGGCAGCTCGTATTGCATTTTCAGCGTGACTAAACACTAATTCGGCATAACATTTCATTGGCCACAAACGACAGCAAACACGAGGTAAAGATCAGTTCAGAACGGGAGCCACTTCCTGCAGACGCACCGCCAAATGGCCAAATCGCCAACAGGGCCCGCGCCGAAGGCCTTCGGAACGCTCGGAACCGGTCGGATTCTTGAGCCGGTATACGACCACAGCGCCGCCGCGTACATCCAGGACCTTTCTACGCTCCTCGTTTGTCGTAGCCTCATCCCACTAGCCTTTTCTAGTGTGCGCCGTTTTTTTTCGCCGCTTGGTGGCGGGTATGTTGACGGGTCATTTCTCGTTTCCGTACTTTCTAAACTGCATTTGTTTCTTTTCTGACCTAAAATAGTGAACAAAAACTACTTTCATACATAATTGAAACGGTTCGCGACACTTATATTTTGTATCTCGATTAAAGAAAAAGCTCTTAGCGGCTTTGACCAGTGACAAGTCCAGGACCAAAGACGTCACATTTTGCGCGCTTTCAGTACCGCGAGTCGCCCTCGTCGGTGGAGGAGGTTTCCGCGTCGTCCGGTTAAAATATGACGCACTGATATTTAGTTACTCTTTCCGTGCCCGCTAGCTTGCCCCAACCCCAAGAGACGTGGAAACCGCAAAAAAGGTAGACGCTTAAATATGATTGCAGGGCCCCTTTAAGAAAGAGGAACAGGATTTTGGGAAATCCTCACCCTCCCAAGCGTGCATCACGAGTTCGTTCTTTCAGCTTTTCTCTCTTACCTCCCCTTTTGTACATCTGGCCATGCTATCTTTGTTCTGGACTTGTGGTTAGGGAATTTTTCTTCTCTTCCAACATTTATTTTTTTCAGAAGGGACATGCTAGGGAACGGGCATTCATACAATTTTTTAAAGGCCACGCATGGTGACAAATTTTGATGTAGCCATTCAGCTGTTAATTATAACGAGTACTTTTACATACATCTTTTTTTTAGATTTGGTCGTTCGATATAGACAATATTTCGCTATATTCAAATTCGTTATAAACGGGATCGACTGTACCTAAGCAGCAGCGGCTATTCTTATGCACATCACCGTTAATAAAACTAGTCAAACCGATAGAGCCCAACTTTCACGACCTCCAAAGCACTGAAAATATGCTTTACCTAGCGAAAACCTGAATGAACGGTTTTGGACAGCTAAAAGACTAACAAAACTTCCGGAGCCTTTAATCACACATTCTCCCACTTTGGTTTTCTGGTTTTGGTCTCATTTTTCCTTAACAAATGCGCAATTTTGTTATGAAGAAGTAACTGGGTGGCATCTCAGCATCATGTTCAAGCACTATGTAAAGAACAATATTTTCTTTTTCAAGGTCCTTTAACCAGTAAAGAATTCTGCAAAAGTGGCTTGCCTTTTTGTTCATGATCTTCCCACCGTAAGCCGTGAGCACAGGATGATCTAAAGTCTTCTTGTTGCACTCTTCAGAGCTATCCGGCGTGAAAGACTTGGCCAGCTGTCTGTTCAGGTTTCCGTACTCTCCAGAAGCAATTTCCGTGACTGAAAAGGTTGTGGGTGTGTATGCTGAGGGGACCATGACAGAATTCCCTGCTTTGTTGCATTAACCAAAAGCAAAAAAAACTTAATTTTCATAAGGCACGACACGGATGTGAGTTCTTGTTTGCTATATGCGCTGATTTCCGCAAAAAAACAGTTTGTGCGATACGCATATAGTTTTCTCCTAGACTACACTTTTCCCTCCCCCTCTAAAAGGGTTGCCACAATCTCTTCATTAAAAAAAAAAAAATAAAAGGAACGCCATTGGTACTAATATTCACAGACATTCAGAAAAATATTTTTCGAGCTAAAGGTTAATTAAAGAATGAGCCACATCCAAACCACTGTACAACAGAATCTCTGAAAGTGGAAGTCCAAGGGACCCAGGCAAGATTGCTCCACATACACCAAGTTTCGCAACTGAACAGACAGTACCACTTAATAGAGCCTCCGCTACGGTATTTAAACATGCCCCAACGTTTACTAAAGCAAACTCCAAAATAACCCAAATACAAAAAAAAAAAATAATTGCAATAAACTATACTTGTTTTTACACAAAAACATTTAGCCACTAATTGGCCCGCTCGGGGCTAGCCCCTGTCCTCTCTCCTCAATCGCAGTTGGTGACAATGCATAACTTGGAATATTTGAGAAGTTCTAAACGGTCTCGGGCACATCTCCATTAACGGAACTATTTAAATCCATAAGACATATATTTTATAACCTCCAAAGCACCAGAACTACCCTTTTAATCAAAAGAGAACTTCAATGCATAGCTGCAGAAAGTGAAACAACTTTCGCAACTCGCAGAGTCTTTAACGTCACGCCGATCAGCGCAGCATTTGCAGTTTTGGTTCGAGCAAATACATGATTCGATGAAAAAATTAATGAGGTAGTGCTCCGACCCTATATTCTAATGCTTCACACGTGCACAAAAAATATATTTCGGCGAGTCGTAGGCTTTTGCCATTATCTCCGTGTACTTACTGAAATCTGCTGGGTTATGGTACAGGGGACAGTGGAGGTTCTGCGCAGACAAGAAGTGAAGCAGCTTGTCCACGGGTCCATTGTAGATGCACAGTCCTTCCGATATCATGTACAACTGAAAGGCAAAAGAGTTAAATGTTGGTGGAAAATGTGTGACTAGAACTGCAAATTATAACTACAGGAACATTTTTTTTTGTCCTTGAGTTTTGGCCTTCGAAAGGGTGGAAGGTAGGTTTTGCCATTTGCACAGTTTTCACAAGTGACACATTTTGGATTCTTGAAACTTTTAGATTCTTGTTTTCACGACAATTATAACTTTTTTTAGTGCTTTAAGGTTTTGCCTTTGTAGGGACCCATTTGCACGGTGCGCATAGAAGACAAGAAGGACAAGCGCGTGCCACGGGACCAGAACGAGCTCGAGAGACGGAACGACCGGCGTGACATTATAAGCTCTCTGTGATCGCAGCTACCGTTCATGGACTCCGCACATCTAATGTAAATATTGTAAAATATTGTAGATAGAGTATTAAAGAGTCAAGTACCGCATACCTACAATTGATGACCCGGACGTGATGGATTACGCATCTCGCCTTCGTACAACAATGCAACAACTCAGACCTTCGGTAGACCGCAAGCAAGCCACCGCTAAAGTGTTTATAAGCCCAGACCTCCATACCTCTTCGCACGTCCTCGTACGACATGACGCGGTGCGAAAACCGTTACAACCACCTTATGACGGCCCCTTCAAGGTACTCCGACGACATCCTAAGTACTTCACACTGCAAATTAACAATCGAGAAGAAAATGTCTCATTGGCTCGTCTCAAACCCGCCTATCTCGATACCAGCGCGGCCGATAAACAGTGCGCACCACAACCAGTCATCACGTCAACGACCAGGCCAAAAACCGTCCGATTTTCAAACGCTCCCGCCGCCCAACCCGCACACCATCTCGAAGCTTGTCCGGACTACGCTTCTCTTCTAGGGGGGGAGCTAATGTAGGGACCCATTTGCACGGTGCGCATAGAAGACAAGAAGGACAAGCGCGTGCCACGGGACCAGAACGAGCTCGAGAGACGGAACGACCGGCGTGACATTATAAGCTCTCTGTGATCGCAGCTGCCGTTCATGGACTCCGCACATCTAATGTAAATATTGTAAAATATTGTAGATAGAGTATTAAAGAGTCAAGTACCGCGTACCTACACCTTAAAGGGTGAAAATCCTCTAGAAGTTTGTTGTTTATTTTATTTTATAAATAAAAAAATTCTTGTATCTTGCACCTTTGACAAAAATTAGTCAAATTTGAATCGACCTCACTTTCGATGTACAATGATTTAAAAGGGTTATGGCACAAAAATTAAACATAGATTATTCTTGAAATTGGATGCTCAGATGCGACTTATTATATACACCAAGTCATGTGATCTTTAAAGCTCTGGTAATTGCAATAATTAATTTACAAATTTTTATCATTTTCATCTGGCGACCAGGCAACACTGCCTAAGTTTGTCACACCATGGTGTCCATAAACCATGCGATCATGAATGCTCTCTCATTCTAGGGGGCCCTATGATCGCCCAAGCTCTCCTTGCTGTGGTACGATTAAAACCGCTTACGCAACTCGGCAATCCAAACGCTATTCTTGCTCTCGCTCCCGGCCCGTTGACCTCCCACCCTGCATGCGCCTGTGAGATATTCCCGGACGACGGTGATCACGGCAAGTTCATCCACAACTCGCCGTCATCGGAGCTGGTCACCAGTGGGTCACAATCACAATGAACAGCTTCCAACACCTCTTGATAGCAATCACTCTCATCGCTGCTGCGATCATTATCAAACACATTGACAAGGCAAGCGATGCTGCAGACAATCGTCACGGACCGCATGCTCGAAACGCGGAAGGTAAACAAGGGAGCTGAAGCTTGGGACGCCAAGAGAGCCAAGGCGGATGCGAGGAACTCGCACATAAATCGATTTATCCATGAAACTGTCGAGCCATTTTCAAAACAAATTTAGCAGGAATATAGGAACATACAATGAGTCCTAGCAGTATATATAATTATCTAATATTTCTTGTTTTTGGCATGTCATAACCGCTTTAGGGCATAAAAAGCTTATCAAATGAAAGCTTGTACCTAAGCCTATTTAAAAATTATAATATTGTTAATTTAAGTATGGTTTATATGGAAGAAACATTGTAAACTTGAGAAGAAAAGCTAAACGTACAAAATTCAATGCCATTTTTAAAAAAAATATTTTTTTATAGGAAATGTTTTTTATGTGCTTTTATTGGGAGTGTGCACATATTGAAAAATTTTAATATGAATCGAATACCAATAAGACAAAAAAAAGGGGGCTTTGAATATTGCATCAAATATTGCATGTGTCTTGTAATAAAAAATTGCAAAACGAGAAGTAACAGCAGGTTTTATTGCATTTTTAAAATAAATCAATGCAACCGCATTTTACTGGGCTGCAGCAGGCTAAAGATGCCTTCTAGCAATGCACTTATTACAAATTATCGAGTAAAAAAATTAACTGTTCAACGTGTTCATAAAGAAAGCGCTCCCTACGTGCCGTCACAACGTTTCCGACAGTAGAAAGACCCTTTAATCCCTAAAGTTTGAAGAAGTTTGACTATAATGGACAGTGTTGCCCAGCTGCTACATGAATATTTCAAATTTTGGGAAACAAATAATTTAGAAAGTACTTTATTTTATATTTTATAAAATGTTTACCAATAGGGGTGTGCGAATACTCAAAGGTATGAATTCAAATCGAATAGCAAGTTCCCGAATAATTCGATTCGCGAATCGAATTTCTAGTATTCAGTCACTCGAATATTCAATATATCGGACAAAGACGCGCGGCCGGCGCGGAGCTGACAAAAAAGCCGTTTTATCTCCCGATGTTAGCGCTATGATGTGCGTCAGACCATGTGAGAAACACCTTTTGGTTCTACCATTTTACAAAAATCTAACGCACAGGTTAGAAAAAAAAAAAAGTAACGAACACCACAAACCAGGGATGGGCAAAATACATGCAAATATGTATTGAAATACAAATACAAAAAGCTTCGTCAACAATGTATTTAATTACAAATATAATTACATTTCCAAAAAAGCATTTAAGTACAAGATACAAATACAACCAAATGTATTTGGTCCCCCCAAATACTTTTCCAAATACATTCCTCAAAATTTGCGTCAGTGACTTCAGGGCACCTGCAACGGGTTTCTGGGTATCTCATTTTAATTTTGCATCGCACACTCTGGAGTTAGTGTACGAGGCTCCAGTAATGTAATAGAAATATAACCACAAAAAAATGCAATCAGCTTGGACGTAATCGGTGAAAAAAAGTACAGAGCTTCAAGCAGCTTTTTTTGTCGATTACATTTTGTATAGGCCAACAAAGAACCGAGACGACCAAGACGCGCAGCACTAGCCGGAGAATTTTTTATTGTTGCAACTCGCACCAGTTACGAAAATCTGGACGACCCGCGCATTTAAAATGTTCCAGGCAAAAATATGGACGGAAATCAGGCTGGAAAGCATCACAAGTTGTCACAGGGACTTGTTTAGCCAGTCTGCCTGAGAACGTCGATTTCGTCACTATTCTTGCCCTGGACTAGCATCGTAATCACAAAGTCACTAAACGCTTGTGCTCGATTGAGAGACACTGCATTCGGTGCAGAACGTAGTTTTCTTCCTGCTCTGGACACGTCTTAGGATGAGCAAAATGAGTCCTAATAATAATTTTAAGGGATGTATTTCCACCCACAAAATTGTATTTAATTACAATTGTATTTGAAATACCCACGTTTTAGTATTTAAATACACAGGTCAAATACATTACCCAATTTGTAATTAAATACAAATGCAAAATACACAAAGTATTTGAAATATGTATTTCAAATACTTGTATTTAAAATACTGCCCATCCCTGCCACAAGCTTTATAGCACGCAGATTTTCTCATGATCGTGACGCAATCTAAAATTAAATCACAACCGAAACATCCCATTTGCGCCGCTTCCAGAGAAGAATTGTTGGGAGGCCAGAATTCCACGCCATGCCTAACTCTTTTCATGAGTAAAGCCCCTCGTTTCAAGTTGAAGTGCCGATGTAGAACAGACTTGTCACACTCACAGAAATCGGCGACTGCAAGGTCACAAAAGGAAAACCACGTTAACCACGCCGATAAAACCAGCTCAGTTGACGTCGTCGTTCTTTCGGAACCGCAAGCCGCAAATTCTGATTCGGAACGAAACAGAAAAATAGTGTGCCTAGATTTGAAAGGGTTTCCAACCGTTCGATAGCCGCGTTTGAATTACGAACTGCGAGAAGGCAACGAAAAGACGGAAGCGTCGTCGGTTTCCTCGCCTTCTTTCCATGGGACTACACAACACATGCGCACTTACGACCAATCTGCGCAGGAGCCGTCCCCGTGGTTTCAGTTTTGCTAGCTCCCCCTCTTAAATCTAGGCTCTCCAAAACAGGATAGACGGACAGAGGAATGAATGCATAGAGGCAGTTGGACGGTGACTTGCGCTACCTAACCACGTCTTTTTTTTTTTTTTTCTTACTTCAGATTATATTCTTTAAGCCTGTTTACGCAGATTTAACAGCTATCTGTGTATTTATATAAAAGAAAATCCTGGGTGCTTTTTTTCTCCCTTAAATGGAGACCAAATCGCAAAATGCCTCTTTTCTCAGATATATAAATATATAAAAAAAAAGAACATGTCGCGGCGTTAGGTCGTCCCTTTAATGAGAGAAAAAGGTATGCGTGGCCGTAACTTTGGGTTTTTTGTGACGCTCGGGGTAGATAGATTATGTTTGCGCCATAAAATTGGATTTTTAGTGCCCAACGTCCATCAACAGCTGCTTTTCTTTTGTTTTTCTTTTTTTTCACCAGAACATTCGAGCTTTTGTTCCGTAAGAGATGCATATTCTGCACCAGGCGCATACTCTGCACACATAATCATCGCATTCACATCACACTTTGAAAAATTCCTACAAATATAATCACTATTCGATATTCAGCTTTTTTTTCCGTAATTCGATTCGGTATTCGATTTGAAAAACTACTATTCGGTATTCGCACACCTTTAGTTACCAATGTTTACAGCACATAAAAACGATAATATGCGGTTTTCACGCTTTCATTAGTTATTAATGGGAACCAGTGATGCAAATAAACCCAACAAATATTGCACTTTTCCTCTGCCAGGTGAGTCAACTATCTTTTTTTTTTATTTTCGCGCATGCACACAAAAGTAGAACTTCAGTCAAACCTTTGTCGAACATCACCATGAAAGTTCAAAAAAGTCTAACTTAGTCGAACTCAAGCCTAGGCAGGTTCGCAGCATCCCTAGTTTTGAATGCGCGGGAGTGGCAGGAGTTGATGGCGATGCAATGTTCTGCTCGCACTTAGCTTTTTCTTTTTTTAATTTTCAAACATTTATATTAGATAACACTCTCGAGATTTATTTTATATTTGGGTGATTTCGGATAAGATCGACCAAAGGGTGGCTGGTCGACATCGACATACAAATAATTGTACGTCGAAAGCTAGCTCAATTCAAACTTGACCCATCATTGTCAAATGTGCAAGATTCAGAAATTTTTATTTCATAAAATAAAATAAAAAACATACTTCTGGAAAAGATTTTTCCTTCCATACGAAATTTTAAAGCAGTAAAAAAAGGTTATAACTGTTGTGAAAAAAGAATCTAAAAGTTTCGAGACTACAAAATCTGTCTTATGTAAACTGCATAAATTGCAAGACCTACCTTCTGCCCTTTCAAAGCCCAAAACTCAAGAACAAAAAAAAATTCCCTAGGTCTAATTTGCAGTTTCGTTCTAGTCACACATTTCCCACCAACATATTTTTTTAAATCATTTTTTGAGGACCCATATTTTTCCTTGTACGATTTAAGGTGAAATCATTCTATACTAAAAAGCAACCAAAAGACCAAGCACATTTCCAGCAACCGCCCCTAGAAAGCAGCATGAAAATGCAAAAGCACAAACAAAGCTTTACTCTGAGAAAACTGAAATGTCTTGGAAGTTTGGGTTATCTCACACTGCATAAAACTCAATAACTAAAGAATTGCAAAACCTAGTTTACCACAAACATAGTTTTGTAAAGAACTTTGTTGTCACACGATGTGACAAGGATGCATGCTTAGTTCACCACTTTACTTACCCGATCAAAATGTGAAAAGAGCTTTGCACTTGGATTGTGAATGGAGCAGAGTACAGTGTGGCCTGCGGCAGCAAGGGACCTCATCACTAGGACACACCGGAGAGCAGAGATGCTGTCCAGGCCACTGCACAATAAAAAAAACACACAGTCTGACACTGGTTCATGAACACTCGAATTAATGAATGCCTCAATTAATATCTGCAAATTTTAGGGAATAGAGCGCTTGAGATGTACACCGCTTTAAGTGTTTTTGCCTAGAAAATCAAAACCCTTAATTAATAAGAAAAAAAGTGCACAAGAGAGAGGAAACAACACACATTTTGCTGTGGTTCCCAAATGATGTTTGAACCATGGTGGGACATTCTCAAGAAAGCAGCTAACTTGGATGTGGACATCCTTTTCTTTTCACTGTTGCAACAAACTGTGTGGCAGTTTGTTGCAACACTTTTGAGGGTTTCAACAAATGTTAGCAATAACAGCCATTCCCTTAAGTTCCAGACCTTAATCTCAAAAGCCTTCTGGATACTATGATCAGGTAGTAACGTCTTGGAAGGAGTTGTCATAAGACTGTACTATTACAATTCCAGGGGTGGAACTCATGAAATGTACTTGGGAGCAACCCCGGGAGCAGCTGAAACAGCTGTTTTGGAGCAGGTTGGGAGCAGCTAAATCTACATCCTGGAGCAGGCTAGAAGCAGCTCGAATCAGTTTTCATTGCACTTCAGCTTGTGTCTTAGACGAGCACGGGAGCAATTTCAATTGTGCTTAGCAGCACAGATGAACATGAGTGGTTAGGAACCTAGGCAGATGGGACAACAGTGTAACAGATGCAAAAACTTGAAACATTGTGAGCCTTAATGAGAACCAAAAAGCAAGCATACCATATGTTTCTAAAGATAGTGTCCGTGATATTTTCTGAGTGGCTTTCAGCTGCCCAAAATGCAAACCCGCACTGCTTATAGCACAACCCACTGGTGCTCGACAAAGTAATTATATGTGCAAACTACATGACGTGCGCAAGCAACGGACGCGCAGTTGTGCGGAGGGACAGGGCAACAAATTTCGAGTTTATCCTATTGTGCAACTCAATATTGAAGCAGCAGACTATGATTAACTGAGTTATCGTACTCTATGCAATAAGCAGGAGCAAGGTTAACGTATGCCGAGCAGATCTACCGCTCGCGTGAGAGCTGCTGGCCGGTAAGGTTTCGGATCGGACCGCATTTCAGTTCTATCAAATCACAATTTATCTTGCAGGAATGCGGTTAACTTCTAACGATGAAGTACTAAAAGGAATCTTTTGCTCATGTGTTTTCAACTAGCTGACGTCCGTAACCCGGGCCGCAGAGCCTCAGGTAATCTGACGCTTAACAACTCGACCTCGTCTTGGCCGACTTGCTTAACCGCTGATGGTTGAAGAATAACAATCCAGTCGCAGATGATGTAGCGCTTCGAATCCGACCCCCGAGTTTTTTTGCGCGCTTCCGACTCGGGATACATAGGGAAAAAAAACAGAACAAAGGATTGCAAGGCCGACCAAGCTAAACACACTCATTGTTGCGAACAGAGTCAATGAAAACCGAAACCAAGACAAAAACCGAGAGCATAATGGCACAGTTTCCGCAAAATGGCGCAGGATGACGCAGACAAATGTGTCTGGCGAAAAATGGCGCAAATGACGCAGCCGTTCCATCCCTGAATTCTCTTTGTGCAGTTTAGCTAGTACAAAAGTGTCTACAAATGCAGTTTAAAAAAACTTTCAGCCTTTCCACTCTGGTGAAGGAGGACCAGCGAAGCTGTATTATGGTGGGAATGAAGTAATGGTCGGCCGCAAATCGGCAAGCCAAAGTGGAAAGACTGGAAAGTTTGTTGCCGTCGCTTATAGATGCCGGTAGCTGTCCAAACCTTTGCGCTGACATTTGATTGCCCGCAAACACGATACTGGGGAAACTAGCCCTTAACAGCTCCGCTGTAAAAGCTAGTGCTCACTTTTATAGCTCAGGCTCAATTTATAAGTGGAGCTATAGATAGCTAAGAGAAGTGGTGAGGTAATTAGGGGTGTGCAAATATTCTAAACTTTGAACACTTCGCAAATAATGCTTGCTACTTGATTTGATTTACTACGCACTTTCGCTGTTCGAAGTATTCGAGTTCTCTAATACTTTGGAAACTATGAATAACGTGGAACTCGCCGATTAGTGTCAACTCGAGGTCAAGCTCCCTGTTTTGTTTTTGGACAAATCCAAAAAGCCATCCTAAGGTCCTCGTTTTTTTTATTTGCGGTAGCGCGATCTGTCCTCTGCTTGCCATAATGTCTGGATTCCGGAGTTGGCGAAGTAATCATGACGCAAACGCTGCGATAGATTTGATGAAATTTGCAACGGCACGCGCATTGTCGTAAGCCCAAACGCAACGGACCAATCTCAATACTATGGATTCGGATACGGATTTATGGCTGATCTCAGCTATCAGCAATATCTGGCTCGTGTTATTTTTCGCTTGATTTTCGGTTCATAGGTTTGCCGGTATTCCTTTTGTTATTTATTTCTACCCATTTTCACTAATAAAAATAAGACTCGCTCCCTTTGAAAAGAAAAAAAAACGTATTTTTAGTTTATTGCTTTTTTGTGTCGCCCTCTATCGGCAGAACTATTGCACACGGAAAGAGATGGCACTAAGTCAGAGCAACTGCACAGTGCAATCGCGCAGTTAGCACAATCTTAAAAAAAAAAAAAAAAAAAATTAGGTTATGTGTATGTTTATACAGCCTATAACTTGTCTCCTAGTTGTAGATGAGACATTTAGCCAGTGTGGTACAAACGCTAGCCTGGTGTCTTTAACATGCATCACGCAGTAATAATACACGACCGCACGCCGGTTTGATCGATGCTCATTCAGATCGAAACGGGCAAGGGTAAGGATTGAACCGAAGATCCCCGAGTTCTGCAGGACGAGCTTTCGCTCCACGTGCTCTGAGCTGGTGCGCGCTGGCCCGCTCGGCTACCAATCCCCCCAGCACGATCTCCAACTCCGCTGTCGCCTGCCGACCCTAAAGCTCCTTCATGTTTTCAAAAGTAGTGCAAGGTGCGTCGATGCACAAGGCACGTGACACGTGCAGCCCCTGGGAAGATCATGGCGGCACAGCGCAGCACTGAGCAAGATTTCAGACGCCATAATCTTCCCAGAAGTGGCGCGCGGCACATGTCTTCAGTATCTCCACAGCAATGAATGGCGCCACTTTTCCCAGGATAGAGGGAATTTAGCCGACCCGCCTCCGCTTGTATACTTCGGTTTATGTTCACGTGGTTGCGTTCACCCGCGTAAAAAGATTTTCCACAAAGTCGGTGCAGCTGCGCGACGCGGTCTTCGACTTTGTATTGTTGCTTGTCAACCCGCCACTGGTTGTGTACTTTCGTTTACGTCCAGTTGTGTTCGTCCGCGACGCAATCTCCGACTGCTTTGTGGCTTGCCGACACACCTTCACTTGTGTACTTTCATTTACGTTCTGTAACTTGATTCCCTGAATGGTGTTTTACTCATTGATTTTTTATTTCATTGGTCACACGTGCGACATTTTTCTTATTGAAATAAAATTGACCTTTTCATAAGTGTTTGTTGAACAAAATCGAAAAAATTCCAGTTGTGCTTTAATTGAGCATTCTTTTTTTTTTTTTATATATATAACTTGTGATTCAATGACAATTAAATTTACATAGCTTATCTGCCATTACAATCTGACTACAAATATGTACTTGGTTCTGATGTAACCTAATTAGTTTTGTTAGTATTGAAAATCTAATTTGCAAAGTTTATGGGAAGGAATGAAGACAAATTGAAACACTGAAATAAGAAAATAAACATATATCAGTGAACTAAAAGGTATTTGGAATACAATAAGCCATAAATGAAAGCCCTAGGATGCTTTATAAATGTTTAAGGACACTTCTGAACTCTCCAGTTTCAAACTGATTTATTGCAGGGTGCCCAAAAGGCACCTAAAAAAGCCTGATGCCCTCTTTATTATATTTGTATCCCTTATTGCATATGTCACACATACACCTACCAGAGAAAGAAAAAATATATGAAGGCTACATATGTGCAAGTGGAAATAGTAAAGGGTGTAAATAGTTCACTCAGGAATAATATTTTAAAAAATCCACTGACCCATTTTACTTTGTTTCCAAGACAATAATTCAAGATAAGAGACTTATTAAATGAAAATCGTTCAGGACAAGACGATAAGTGCCTGTCAACCTTCCAAAGCCACAATTTAAAAAAATGTTTTCTTAGTATATCTTTGCCTCAAAGAGCAGTGTCTACCCTTAATTCCCATCAAATAGAAAATATTGCTTTCAAAAATGTTCGTATTCGAAACTACTATTAGTATTCGAAAATATTCAATTCGATTCCTAGCCTTTATCATTCGATTCATTTCGAAAGATTTTGATATTCGCACACCTCTAATGGAAATAATAAAGAAATTGAAAAAAAAAAGTGGTTTTGTTGTGCGGGCTTTGCACCATAATGATGTTGTATAACAAGAGCCCATTTGTAAAACGTTTGCACAACCAGCTTGTCCATGTACAGTCGCCGACTTATTTTTCGCACATCGCAAAGTCCGAAAAAACGTCTGAATAATACAGCAGTCCGAAAAATCAGCAGATTAAAAAACTTGCCATTATTACGTCTAAGCGGGCTTAAAAAAGCCGTAAATAGTGCCTTGCTTCAGGTTACACCTCCGTTTGTATTCGACAACTTTCTATTAGCACGAGAATCACTGCCTTCTTTACTAGCATCATGGTCGAGTACTTTCTGCGTTTCTTAGCGACACACTGCGACGGTGGAAAAACAGATGGGGCAATGACGCCCAAAGCAGCGTAGTCCGAAAACACCATTCAACAAGACGAGATTGAGATGAGATGCACAGGTCCATGACCGCAATGATGAATGAACAAAACAAAATGGTAACAACAATGACGATTATAATGGCGCACAGATAGAGAAAAAAAAGCCGTACAGCATCACCCAGCGGTAGGACTTAGCAGTACTCAAGTAGCGCTGCCAAACCAAGCCAAGTCATGTGCAGCCAACATGGAATCCAAAATGGTTGCTTCTCAGTGGTGTTTCCCGGAGATCGGTCGCATCAATTTTGTCCGAAAAATCAAACTTTCGGACTTCAAGCTGTCCGAAACATTGGTCGTGAATATGCACTATTTCTATCGGGTAGGTCACGGTTCCACCTTTAGCTCCGAAATATCGAACAAGTCCAAACTTTCGGCATCCAAAAGCTTGGTCAGCGACAGTATTTCTATTGGATAGGTCACGGTTCCTCCTTTAGTCCGAAATATTGAACAAGCCTAAATTATCGGTGTCCGAAAAATCCGTCGGCAACTGTAAGTGCATAAATCCAATCAGCATGGTTTTTGTAGTGGATGATCTGCTGAGACAAACCCTTGTAACCCTTCTGGATGTCACAAAGGCTTTAGTTGGGTCCTGAGGGCAGGGTGATGTAATATTTAAGTGCTCAAAGGCATTTGATTTTATAGACCACAACCTAATGTTGAATCATCCATGCAATGTCTTTCTTTGTGATTTTGTGATTGGTTTATCAGATACTTCAGTGATTGCTTCCATAGAGTTCTAATCAGGACGCAGGTCTCTTACTTAAATGCAGTACCTTCAAAACTGGAGAATCATGGGAGATGAATCTTAGACCACATTTTTTTAACATTTTTGTGAATGATCTCCGAACTAGCATGATCAGCTTAGAGGTGTTTCAGTTCACCAAGAATATAAAAGTGTACTGTACCATTTGCATGCTTCTATAAAGTGTTGCCAGGTGACATTGAAACTATATTCCCCAATGCTGTTGTACAAACATGATGTTTTTAATTCCAGAAAAACTAAGGTTGTTTCTTTTCAGACAAGACTAAAATCATTGTTGATCCTCATAGGTCAGACAACAATCACAAACTTTCAAGATCCTATCTTGTTTGTAACCTTAGTGTTTCGGTTGATCCTAGCCGGAAGTCAAATGATCAGGTTAGAACTACCAATTTTATTTACTCAGTAGTCTTATCAAGATTGGAATTTTCCTCAACAGAATGAAATTCCTCAGGAATAAGCTGAATACTCAGGTTGCAATTTGAGCAACAATGCTTTGTAAGAGCTGTCTATCATTGCCATATTGAATGGAGAGTTCATTATGAGAGTGATGAAAGCGGCATTTGACCTTTTGCAGTAAGTTTTGCAGCAGGCAAATTATTGGTTTGGAACAGCCACTGACGCTTTTCGAGCAAAGGTTAACAACTGTTAGCCCATCACTTGAAAATGAAAACAAATGATTGCATTGCTAATAAGTTCATATTTGACAACATTTGATGCTTTCTTTGATACTGAAGCATACAGTTAAACCTGGATATAACGAAATTTATAAAAGTTTGCAATAATTCGTTATAAGGAGGATTTCGTTATATGCAGTTTTCGCGGAAAAACTCACGTGGAAAGAAAGCGAAAATTAAAAATCCACGTAGGCAAACTCATCACATCATTTATTTAGTGGAAATGAAGTCTGTAAGCTTGCCTTGAATCTTACGCGCGAGCGAAGGCAGCACGCAGCACTCAAAGGACACCAAAGCGTTTAGAGCGCTGTCGTCGTCCTGGGAGCCGGCGACCCAGCGTAATACATTGATGGCATCCAAGACCTCCCTCGCGGTAGGCACCAAAGGCTCCTCGCCTTTGGTGGCAGTTGGACAAGAATATATCTGCATTTTAGGTACAGTCGCCGAACGATTATTCGGACTTCACAGGGACCGAAAAAACACCAGAATAATAGAGCAGTCTGAAAAATCTGCAAATTAAAAAACTTGCCTTTATTACTTCCAAGTGGGCTTAAAAAAGCTGTAAATAGTGCCTCGTTTCAGGTTACACCTCCGTTTCCATTCGGCAACTTTCTGTTAGCTTGAGAATTGCTGCCTTCCTTTCTAGAGTTATGGTCGAGTACTTTCTGCGCTTCTTAGTGACACATCGCGGCGGCAGAAGAACAGATGGGGCCATGACGTCCAAGCCAGCGTTGTGCGAGCGAGATAAGACGTGCAAGACCACGAGCGCAAAATGTCGACTGGCAACACGTAATGTAATACGTTCAAACGAACGTCTTTGAGGCGAATAAAACTTGAACTTGAATCGGGAAAAGCAAAATGATAATAATGATGATGATGATGACATGCAGCTCAATGGGAAAAAAGGGCTTGCATAGCGTCACCTAGCGGTAGGACTCAGGAGTACTCAGGCTACTGGCGCTACTTACCAGCAAGGGCCCATGGCCCTTGCTGGTAAGCTGTGCATGGCGGCGCAGTGCTCCCCCAATCTGGTGCACACCCCAGCGGTTCTGAGAGACCTACCTGGTGGGTTCGTCGAGGAAGATGACCGGTGGGTTGCTAATGAGTTCTTGAGAAATGGCCAGCCGCTTGCGCTGCCCCCCAGAGAGGGAGCTGGTCCTCGTGTTCTGGCAGGCATCCAGGCCCCAGCGCGTGATGGCTTCACCAACCTGCAAGAGGCCACCAACAAGAGCTTTTCAAGGGTACCAGGAGATCTATACATTTGTTTCATTTTATATACTTGGTTGTACTGCTAATCCGATTAACGATGAAATGCCAAACCAGGAGCAGGCAGTATAGCGTATTGTTAAGGGGGGAAACTGGCTAGAGATTAAAGGGACACTGACACCCCCCAAAATTTTTTTTTAATTTTTTGCCAGGCGCTTTATTATGGTGTCTGAGGACTACCCAATCAATATTTTGCAACAGAGTAGTGTATTTTTTTAATAAAGCCAAAAGACGCAACTGCTCGAAATCGAAACCGAAACCCGACGGAGGTCGGAGAAGTGGAGAGAAGAGAGTGTGTGGCGGAAGTCACGTGGCTACACCCAACCGTGTTTTTTTTTTTTTTTTTTTTTTTTTGTTCTCTTTCCCGGTAGCAGACGACATGCGGCGTATGGGAACTGGTCGCCGTGGGATTCTTTTGCAGTTATGTATGTTCCGCTAGTTGTTCTGTACTCCAAGATGAGTTGTTTTGTACATTGAGGAGTTGGAGATGAGTAGTGAGTGCCCGTGGTGGATTTTGATCGGCTCCGAAAAGAATACACCCAAGATGTTGCGTGAAGAGCTGGCTCACATGTCCTGCGTCCGAAACAGAAGTGGCACTGTGCGACAGAGTTTCCGAAAGATCAACGGGATCGGGACCAATGGCTGGCTGCAATTCCTGTAGACCATTTACGGGCACCTCGGAAAGCGGACGCTACCTGATTTATATGCTCCTTGCATTTTGTGGAAAGTGATTACATTGAGTTCGCAGGTGTCAAAAAGGAAATCTCATACCATTTAATTCAGCGACGTGTCGTCCACAACATTTGTTTCTTATATTGTTTTTTGTTTCTTCAGTGATGATTGTAAAAAAAAAAAAAAAGAAAAAGATATGTAAACATCAAAAAATGTTTGAAAAAAAAAAAAAAATAAGGTTTCACGGGGGATCGAACCCGGTCCTACCGCGTGCGAACTGGACGTCTTTCCCACTGAGCTACTAGGGGATCTCTTTACTGGTGGATCTCTTTCCTTAGTAATAATTCAGCCGGTAAACTGTAAGTTGGAAAGTTTGCTGTCGATTTTTCTCTAGCAAAAGCACTCCCGGGTCGAAGTCGGGATGCACCACGCATTGGCGACATTCTCACCTAGTAAAGAAATCGTACGCGTGCATATTCAAGTCGAAGTAGACACGTCGCGCTTGACGTTTGCGCGAGCGATGTCTTCAGCCACAAGAAGGGAGCGACGGCTCGGCGACGTCTTCGTGCAAATCGGCTTGGTGGTCGGGCGTGTCGTACGGGATGAATACTAATTCTTTTGACCAGTCCCAAATTTCTCTTTTAAAGGCAGACAAAATTCGCCGGTACCGCGAACGACAGTTCTGAAATAGTCGTCCGCTGCCATCGCCGTCCCTGCGAGTCCCACGATACGCGAAACGACGCACGCACAGAATGCTTCCGGTTGTCTGTGGAACTTTTTTTTCAATCAACGTATTTGCAGCTTTTTAGAAGCCACAAAAAATGGGTTTCATATTTTTTTCTATTTTTAATATTGATTGTGTGCTTTCAGTGACCCACGACTTTGATTAAATTTGGTGGTCGCATCGATACCTTAGAAAACGGCCCGTGACCGCGAGAAAGAGAGTGAGCGAGACTCGAACCGGCCAGTTCTTGATCGGCGGTTTTCGGGCGGAAAGAAACCGAATTTCGAGCTGCAAATTCTGTTCTGGGTAGTTGAGCTCTCATATGTCACGTACAACTTAAAACCTCGGCGAGCATAAATACCCTGTCAGTGTCCCTTTAAACTCCTGAACTACTAAAGTGATCGGAATGAAATTTGCAGGGGTCATTTAACATCAGATGTATCTGTATTGTGCAAACTTTCAGCCCTCTAGGACAATTATATTTACCTGCATAAGAATATGTGTCACTCTTTGTTAATCTATGATATGCAAATGAAGCTATTAAGCACCATTTTGAATCCTCGAATATAAAGTAGGCGATTTGGGACCTTGGACTATCTTGTTTTTATATTGAATATAAAGTAGGAGATTTGGGAAATTGGGCTATCTTGTTTTTATTACTCAAATGTAAATATTTTAGGAACAGTAATTACCTCAAGATATGAGATGCATATCTGTCCTATGTTAATTTATGAAAACAGTATTTTTCTCAACGAGGACTTCAACTAAAAAAACAAAATAAAGTATAGATAGCCCGATTCCCCAGTAAATTTAATTTAAGAAATATCTTGATTCTGGTATTAAAATGCTTTTATTTTCGAACAAAACATTCCTCTGTATGAAATTTGCAGCAAAAAGTGGAACTGAGAAAAATGCATTCAAACATTGAACTCCTTAAGGTCGATGTTCGCAGAGATAACTAAAATATTAAATCCATGTACACTCCGCTTTTTTCTTTCCTGGCAGGAAAATTTTGTTGTCGCCATCTTGAATTTTGGTGCCTTTCCGAGATAGCGCCCCCCTCACTTTGCGGGCAATTTTTACTTGCGGGCAAGGGGGGAGGGGGGGCGCTTGCTCAGAATTTTACAGTATGTAGGCAACAGTGAACGCTGGTGGGAAGGACCTGAGCACTCATAAAAGTCGCACACTGGCAGCTACATGAAATGTTGGCCGTCACACTGAGGCTCCTTCTCAAGGCTTTGTAGTAAAGGCGGAAAAAAGCAAAGATATAAAGAGGAAAGCACAGCTAACAAGAAGTATGTTTGTTATTCTGGTAGAGGCATCCGATATATCAATATGAAGATTTTCTTTTTTTTGGAAAATGCTGGCATCATTATAGAGATATGTTCTCTTGCACTAGATGCAGTGTGGTTCACAAAATGCCAGCTTGAGATTTTAAGGAGTTGGAAGCTAATCTTCAACAATTTTTAAACACTGCTATGTCTATACAGATTCACAAGCCACTGTACTTTATAAACTAGTCTGCTACGCAAGCAACCACACTTCAAAAACTAGTCTGACTACTATGCTGGGGAAGGAGCTTTGTTGGGGCAGCAGTCAGGCAACGGTGGACACGCCTTAGGAAGGCTTGACCATCGGACAATCTACACGCAACAGCACCAACATGGCAGCTTTTGGAGGCCGCACTTGAGAATACAGAGATGTCCAATTGTTCCGACAGCTTCAGAAAAATTTCCAAAGCCTTCTCAAAACAGGACCTGAGAATTGAGAGATGGGGCGGCAAGAATGTGCACCCACCAGCTGCTCCCTCTTGGAGCGATTGAGGGAGGGCATGCGAAGCTGGAGGCTCATGGTCAGAGCCTCCCTGACGGTGAGCTCGGGAAGCAGGCAGTCATCTTGCATGACGTAGCAGCTCTGCTGGTTGAACAGCTCCGTGTCCCGCACCCAGCCGTTCACCTGCACCTCACCTTCATAGCCTTTGTCACTGTGGAAGGGAAAACGAGCACTTGGCTTTAATTCCTTGTCGTGTCCCACATCTTTCCCGGATCGCAAAATCGGGTGAAGGAATGCCGGTTGCGGCATTGCATTGTCAAGAAAAAGGAAATCAAAGGCCTAGAGACAGTGCATCTGCCTTCTCTCTCATAAGGTTAGGCGTAACACAAGCTCGTAAAAATTATGCCTTGGTGTAGTGGGCTGAACCACGTCTGATACAATCGGCTTGATCTCGTGTAATTTCGAAGCTCAGCATTGTTCCTGAAATCAGTACTCTCTGCTTTCAAATGACTGGCTTTCTCGCTGATTGGAGGGATACAATAAATAAATAAACAAAATAAATAAATTGTGTCTAATGGTCTAAGCACAGTACGTAATCCCTCTCGTTAACTGAAACTCGGTTATCTCGGTTAAACTGAAAGATTTCCTCGTCAAGGAATTCACTCCCATAGGCACAATGCATTTGTGCATCGCTTATCTCGAAAAGCTTAGAGGACTCCTCTTCAAATCTTGACAAAAAATATTACAAAAAAAAAAAAAAAAAAAAAAGCAGGCAGGGCACATTATACAATGAACTGGTGGACTCAAGATTGGTTGAGGAAGAAACAACACTCCAAAAAGAAAACTAGTAGCATTGACAAATGAGCTAGTTAGGAGTTAATTTTAATGGGTAATAAACAGTGCAGGGACAGCGACAGAGCAGGAGAAGGAAGATAAACACGGCGCTGACTAACAACTGAGCTTTTATGGATCTGACAACGCGTATAAATATAATAGGGTTGTGCGAATATTCGGAATTTCGAATAGTAGTTCCGAATAATACACTATTCGATATTCGCTTCGAAAGGAACTGCACTATTCGCGTTTTTCGAAGTGTTGATTACGGCGGGTTAGCCCCGTTGAGTGCGCTTCTTACGAAGCACCGGTGCGCTGCGGAGAAGCAAAACCCGCGAAAGTGAGCTCCGCGGGTGTTGCTTCTCCGCATTACATCGGTGCTCGCTAAGAAGCGCACTTAACGGGGTAACCCGCCGCGATAAACAATATTGTAATTGCGTGCTCAAGAAAAGCATACATTCAAAGCGGGATGGTGCACCCGTGCCGACTGTATTTGAAAATAAATGGAAACTTTGTGAATGTGTATATCTACATAGTAGTAAAAGTTTCAAAATTAAACTTTTATGGAAGAGTATACTATGTTAGGCAGAGATGCTTTTACAACCTGTGTTCATCATGCACGACTCAATCTTTTTTAACTTGAGATTAAAGAAATAATATTTTATATATCAAGATTTGTAAATTCACTCAATTGGTATAGTTGGCCATCTATATAGGATTCATTTTATGTCAAATCCGTGGTTTGCTAGCCATCCCAAGACACCAGACCTTCTGAGATCACAGTTCATAAATATAGATAGATTAAGCTTAGCTTATGAATGAAAAAGTGGAATAACCTTTGCAGGTTTAGCTAGGTTTTCGTCTAAGCATTATGCAATGATAGTGAAAGGCGTGGAAAAACTATTCGATATTCGAATCGAAAATATTCGGCCAAAACCACTATTCGCTTCGAATTCGCTTCGAACTCAAAATCCACTATTCGCACAAGACTAAAATATAAAATTTGCCCGAACCAAAAGCAAAAAAGGGAGACAACACTCAAGAAGGACGACACATGTTCCTGGAGTCATATGCGCGCACTCTTCTCCGATCTACAAAGAAGCATGCTCTCCTATTCGCGGCCCCAGCTTGCCGCTCGCCCTCCCGCAGACAAAGGGAGAACCAGAGGAACGGGGACAGCAGCGACGGCGGCAGTGCGGAAACGGGGGTAGGGGCTGTCGGCCTTGAAGCGTAAAGCCGTTTTAACGAAAAAAGTGAGCGCATTAAAATAAGAATTCTTGTGCTCTGCCTGGCCACATCGTTGCACGAAGAACCGGGATGTCTAATTTCATTAGGGACTTTTTGTATATCGCATACGCCGCAGATTTCTGGTCTTGTGCATGACCGCCAGCTCGATCTTTGCTCAACATGGCGGCAAACGCTCCCACTAGTAATGTAGAGCTCTAGCGTACGGTCTACGAAAAGTCTATTCTTTGCCCTAAGTAAGAGAAAACTGGTCGCACTATGTCAAGCAATACACATCGGGAATGTGCTTGCGTTTTAAGGCTGTTACAAAGAACATGACCATTTACTTCAAGCACTTTTAAAAGATAGAATACAAATACTTGCTTTTAGGTAATTACAAAGTAAATAAAAAAATTCCCAAAGCGTCTTAAAGGGCAACTCCGCTCAATTCCGAAGATTTCGGGATAATGAGCGATTTCAAATTAAAAAGCCCTTGTAAAAGACACTACGTCGTTTGCTTCGCAAAAAATGGGATATATATTTTTAAATCTAATTTTAAACACGAGCGGAAATCGAAACCGAAACTTCGGCTCCGTCCGGCAACATTGGCCTCGGGCCGCCAAGTACATGGCCATCACGTGGTATGAGATGTCACGTGATCCTCGGCCCACCGACGGGCGGGATGGAGGCGGGCGTGCGGCAGGCGCGAGTGTCGTCTGCACCGCACTCTTCGCCACGTTTTGGTGTCTACAGCATTCGACGACGTCTGCACAACTGCGGCATAAGTCTGCGACTCTGTGCATGTGGTGTCCATAGTGTGGACGAAACTCCGAGAGGAAATAATCACAAACGGTGAGACGACGACGGTGGTTGTGACGCGGAAGACGGCGGTAACGGCGGGATCACGGCGGACAGTTGGTCTGCTCCCAAGAAGCGCGCTGCGCAGGCACGTACGCCAATCACGTGGACACCGCTGAGCGCCGAGAGGCAACGTTGCTGACGTCATGTGCTACGCTCAATCGGAGAAGTAAAAACAAGCAAAAGGGGGCCATGATGATGACGCTTAGCTCAATGTTGGCTCCGCCCATGCCGTAGCCTTGACTGCGCTGTTGGTTGCACCTGAATTCGCCCGCTCGAGTCAGCCGATTTCGGCGACTTGGCGAGTTGCAAAGTTTGCCGGACCGTTTAAGAAACATTTAGAGAGAACTGCGTCGTAATATTTGACGTGCGGTCTTCCTAGGCGATACTGAAGAGGACTGCATTGCTTTTTCAAAACCAAAAATGAAGCGGAGTTGCCCTTTAAGCGAGCCTGTGCTAGACAGCCGTTCGTGACGAGAGCTTAGAACAGGCAGTTTTCACGAGAGGGGCCGCAATGTTGCAAATAACACGGTACAAAAAAATGTCCTGTATACAGTATAGACCATTTACAACGTAACCGCTTATAGTGCAGTACCGGGTATAACGCGGCTTTTTTAAACCACCGGTTCGCCTCCCATAGAACTTCATGTAATTACATACCGCTTAAAATGCAGGCGCGCGAAGGGAAATACCGGTTATAGTGCAGTTTCTGAAGCAGCGCGCCGACTGGGCAGACCGACCGGGGAAGCGACCACGCTTCTTTGTGTGACACCAGATAACGGCGCGACAGCGCTAGCCGCAAGTGGCACTCGCGGGGACAAGGGTAGCAAGGAGGTTGCTCGAAGAAGCGGGAAGAAGCGAAAGGAGAGGCTTCAGTTGCCATAGCAACGGAGGGACGCATGCACGTGTCGTTCACGGCGCAAGGCATTGGCGAGCCCAACCAGCCGTTCGCGCGCGTTGCATGCCGGTCGCGGGCCGGCCAGGCTGGCTTCTTCTATCCGCAAACATTGCGTCGGTGGTGATCGTCGACGTCGACGGCGTAGTGGAATCTCATCGTTCCGCGTAAAAGCGCTATCCTTGACTGTGAATTTTCGTTGTGTGTTGCTATGATAACCTAGCACGTATTAGAAGGGAAGATTGACCAACTCGTGCAGCAATGTCGTGGCGGCACTCTCAAGACAGCAGAAACGCTCGTGTCGTCGTGTTTGTTTACTTCGACTACAGTAGTGCTTTCTAAGCATTTGCGTTTGGAGCATTTCATGCCTATTTTGGAGCATTTCATGCGCGTACCATATAAAGGATGTGAATTTTCACGCATTTTCATCACCGGAGACAAGTGATTAGGGTTAGCAATCCTGAATGCTCGCAACATCCGTCCGCAACCCGCGACGCCGTGAAAAGGCTGCGCGGGGAGAAAGTCGCTAATTTCTTTCAAGATGTGCGACACACTTGAGAGAGAAGTGTACTAGTCTGGTGAAATAAAGACTTTCCTCAAACTAAGCTTTATTTTTCATCTAATATAAAATAAATTGTTTTACAAAGGTAAGTTGTCTCATGGCATGTATTTTGGACTGAAAAATTGATGTTTTGGTTATAGCACAGTACCGCTTATAGTGCGGATTTTCGCGACTCCCGCGACATACGTTATATGCGGTCTACACTGTATTAAGATATTTATTTTTGATGGAGCAATAAATAAAACTCCTAAACACGCCGATTATGGTATAGCAGTTTTGGTATAGCGTTACCGCAGGCTAGCATGAGCACGGCAACGCTCCTGGCGCGAGCTGAAAACTGTGCTCCAAAGGCGCAGCGCGAGCTTCCGGTTGTAATGCTACACCGCATGGTAGCCTGCGGTAACAAACTTCCTATCAATAATCATGGAGCAGTTTGACCACGTGCTGCAATACACTAAAACCGAGGCCTGTGAGCAGCGGTTTGCGAGCCTGTAACACGAAGAAATCAATACTGTAAACGCTGCTCTTCCGAAGCTTGATGGTCACCGTGCGTGGCTCTTTTTAGAGCACTAATGGCCATGCCAAGTGCAAACACGGTATCTTCATCACCTTCAAAAATATTCTGCACAATCCGTGACGTTGGCGTTGCCTATAATGCACTTGCCCACCACAAAGCTTTGCAAGTTGAGGGTTCCGCAATTTTTAAATATCAGCCTGCTCGTTTTGCTAACGCGAATCAACATCTCCATCACCTATAATACGATAATGCCCTGACCACTTGGCATTTGTAGAGAAATACATAATTTTTAGCGCACTGACCAGCGTCAGCAAGCAAGCGCACGGGAAATCATAAAGAATCCATGCCCGTTTTTTCTGCCATCTTGGAACTACACCCCCGCCACCTATAGGGCATTAGAGTTGCGAATACCGACAAGGCAAGTGATGGGGCACAAACAGATTCTGACTTTGCTTGTCCTATGTGTGTGCTTTTATAATCTCCCGCGTGAGTTTGTCCTTTTGCCTACTGATGACTGTGCATCTTTCAAAGGCTGGAGTACACCACAGCAGCGACAATGCACGCCAAGATGCCCCGACACAACCTGCGACACATTGTACCGGTGCTTTCTTGACCGCTCATTAAGACAGCGTCCTGTCTGACCTATGTATCTGTGGCCGCACGAAAGGGGAATAGAATACACCACTTTCACAATGCATGATACAAACTGGTTTTAGTGTTTGTTAGAGCATACTCGTTTTTCTCTTACATCAGAATTCACATTTTGGCACCTTTCGTGCGCAGCAGATACACACGGCAGACATGAAGCTGTCTTAATGAGTGGTTAAGAGAGCACCGGTACAATGTGTCACAAGTTGTGTCGGGGCACTGTCAACGGGTAATTTCGGTTTCGGTTTCACCTGGTTGTGCATCTGTCGTCTGCTATTGTCTCCGCACCATCACTCCCATCGTCATGGATTGCTCCACACTTAGGCATGATGCAGTAAATACCGTTTTCTTCTCGTCACTACATATCAGACGCAGCGAATAACGCAACAATTACAATTTTGCTGGCACGGGAAGCAAGTCAAATGAAAGCAGACTGACGTACGCCGAACGTCGTGCCAGCTCATTGGGTGTACCTGTTTGCAACCTCGAAAACAGCCACTGAGAAAAATACTCCAGTTTTATAACACCCTTGCTTCGCAGATCGCTATATACAATCAGGCTAACGCAGTACATGCTGAACCTCACTGTACGAGAATGTGTCTAAGTGCAAACAAGCACCTCTTGCTACATCACTGTGGGGAAATCGGCCACGGGAACAAGGGTGTTATAAAACTGTAGTAGTAGTCTCAGTGGCTGTTTTCGAGGTTGCAAATAAATGCACGCAGCGAGCTGGCATGGCGTTCGACGTACATCGATTGGCATTCACTTGACTTCGGCATTGCAGCGTTCTCGCTCGCTCCCCGTGCCAGCAAAATCGTAGTTGTTTCGTTATTCGCTGTGTCTGATATGTAGTGACGAGAAGAAAAGGGTACTTTCTGCATTGCGCGCAAGTGTGGAGCAATCCATAAGGACGTGAGCAATGACGGTGCGGAGACGATATCAGACAACAGGTGCACAACCCGACGAAAGCAAAGAAACTGCCCGTTGACAGTCTCCTGCTCCAGTGCACCTGAACCGCTAAGGGTGCTGCTATTTCGCACATTATTAATTGGCACGATTGTTGGAAGGGTTGCATTCGCACAATGTGCAATCAACGCAACGAAAATCTGGTACCTCGCTTATTTCGAAACTCCGGCTATCTCAAATTCTTTTCTAGTTTTAATGACTTTGAATTATCGAGGGTTTACTGTATTGCTTTATTATATATTTTTGTGTGTAGAAATTTCACTATGTGACATAGGGGGCCTATCCAGGCAGTGCCCTTTTATTAGGGTAAATTAGGTTACCATACTTTTCAATGTACAGTCAAACCCGTTTATAACAAACAGCAGGAAACCCTACGACCAGTTCGATATGGCAAAAAAAGATTTACAATGACCTTCCACGATGCGTTCATTCTACTCTTTTCACTTCCGCCTAGTACAGTTAAACCTCGATGTAACGAAGTCGGTAAAATTCGCAATTTACTTCGTTATATTGAAATTTCGCTAAATTGAAATTTGGCTTTAGCATGCAAAAAAAATTCCAAAGCATTTTACGGGTATGAAAACTCACCGAAAATGACATTTATTTAGGGGCAAAGTAGTCCGCAAGTTTTGCTTGCGCCTTGTCCGACAGTAGCAGCGGCGTCGTCATACGGCGTTCGAGCGCCCAGAGCGCTTGCACGGCATCTTGCTGCCCATGCGACGCCGTGTACCTCCTCAGTACGTCCATTGCGTTGAGCACTTCCCGAGTGCTCGTGATCTCGGCAGTTTCTTCAGGATGGCGTCCAAAACGTTTGCTTTCTCATCCAAAGAAAGAACTTTACGTTTCCTTATGGCAGCAAGCACGTGAGTGAACCGCCCCGTGGCCCGGTTGAAATATAAAGCTGTTTGGTTTAGGCGGTGCCAATGTTGCCAACCGACACAGCACTCTTGACCGCACAGTTTACTTGCCCCCTTGCGCCCACAGTGTGCTTGCGCCTTTGCTTTACATCACGCTCGCAAGACGATAATCGGTCTTCTCCTAGATGGCACTGCCCGTGCGGTCGCGCCATCACGTCGCTCCCCCGCTGAAGTTGGCTCCCGCGCTACCCGCGGTAGAGTGGACTATGATGATCAGTGAATGTCAGTGGTGATGCTGTTATGCCATGTTAACTTTTTGCTCGGCATTTTCTGGCCAGCCCCGCGGAATCCGCTTTGCCGCATGCCTCGCCGGCGCTACCGGCGCCGCATCCTCGGGCAGCCTAGGAACGTTGGAAGGCCTGTCCCCGTGAAGTAACCTATCAAGCGCTCGCGTTTGCGGATAATCTTTTTTTTAGCCACAATTTTTTTGCGAAGTTGTTTTTTAGAGTCTATTTATTTATTGCCTTCTATGGCAATGGCGCTTCGTTATATTGAAATAGCACCAAAATAGACTTCGTTATATAGAGACTAAAAATACATGGGGTCTATGGGCAAGAAATTATGAAAAATAAAATACTTCGTTAAATCGAGGATTTCGTTACATTGAAGTTCGTTATATCAAAGTTCAACTGTATCAACGCGAATTTTTTTTTTTTGCATGCGTGCAGCGTTTGTCTTTTTTAGCTTATCTTTCCTTCTGAATCGCTTCTCTTCGTGAGTAACCTTTTGGGATGAAAAGTTCTTTTTCTTCTGTGCATTCGAGCAGAGGCATTCTTAGCTTTCTCCCCCTTCTCAATCGCTTCTCTTCACTTAATTTTGTTCACAACTTGAGCTAGTGAAATTTTCTTCCTTTCCAATTTTTTTTTTTTTTTTTTTTTTTTGGGGGGGGGGGGGGGGGGGGGGGGAGGTTTTGGAGGGTAAGGCTAGAAGACAACTGTTCACGCGTTCTTGGAAGCCTTCCCAGGGAGAAAAGCTTGATATAGCCAATATGTCGTTCGTTATAAAAAGTGCTTTTTACATGCATTTTAATTTAAATTTTCCGTGAATTCGATATCAACAATAATTAGCTGTACATATGTTCGTTCTAAACGGGTTTCACTGTATAAGTAGTGGCTTTTCCCGGAAATTCCGTTGGTGTGTCTTACAGAACATGCGACTTTCTGTAAACTACTTTTATTTTCGTAGGTTCAATATATCGTGAATTCAGTGAGGTGTGGTTTTCTGGCATATTTCGCGGGCACGAAACTTTGCAGACAAGGGTGGTACGTTATGCATTTGCTACCATAGGGAAACATATGAGCGGGTTCTATTTTTCACAATATCATTCAAGTCGCGAAATTTAGGATCTCGCAACAATTGAGTTGTTTACAGTACGGTATGCATTTTTTTCATAAGCATAGACCTTATCTGCAGAAATTCGGCATGGGGTTCATATTTCTCCTTTGATTTGCTGAAAAAATGTGCTCTCGCGTTGCACACATTGCAATCATAATATACACATGTGGGCTTCTGTGCAGGTTTACCATGCCAGCTGTACAAATATATATAGGTGCAATTTATAATACCAACGATAAAGTACTCAAGTAATGGGCCAGTTGGTGACAGTTCATCTTTGAAAAACATTAAGACTGAGGTTTTCTAAAAATATTACAATACCACTTTTTTTTATATACAGCTGTTTAGAGGATGTGACTATTATAAAGGTGCTGCTTATAAGCTGGAAAATATGCTGACTTAAGTAAGCACACTGATCAACCCTTGTGTAACACCCCAGATGACTGAAAGTCGCAGGGTACTACTCACTAGTGGCCAGAGAGGACGTTCATGAGGGTGGTCTTTCCGGCACCCGAGGGCCCCATGATTGCCGTCAGAGTTCCCGGCTCCGCCTTCCCATACATGTGGCTGATGAGTGCTCTCTTTTCTGCAATGTCAAACAAATAATGGCAAAAAAAAAAACCTTTAGAAAACATGAATATGCAGCCTACATTCTCATTGTTTCCCTGTGTCGGTAAATCGTGGCAGTGACTGGTGACAATAAATAATTCAACACTGCAACAACCCTGCTTTTTAATTGTTCAGTTTGCAGACCTTTACAAATAATGCAAATCCACCCAAAAACAAGATGTACATGATAGTTTGGGTTTCTTCCAGTATTTTTCGCTGCGGCAGTGTGTAAAGACTGCGCAGGTTCCAATCCAATCTAAACCCAACATGCTGGACCCCTGGTTTAAACCCGGAGGCAATACCACTGCTTAACCTACAATATTGAGAACAGGGGTCTCCTATGCGGAGAACACGGGCCTCAGTCACATCTTCTATCACTTCCTCAATCAATTCTCACTACCACCATCTGTGCTAAGTCATTCAAATAGTAACTGCCCAGCACCCCATTTTTCCAATGAACATTTAACCAAAATCAAGTCCAAACGGAGGTACATAAAAGCTGTATGTGCACATGCGCCGCGGCAATCTGGAAACGATTACAGCAGGATGCCTTGGGGTTTGAAGCGGAGGCATGGGCTAGCCACCCAGGAAAACCTGTGGCATAGCACTGCTCAATGTGAATTCTTCCGCTGATGACGGTATGGAACTTGATTACACAAACACAGTTGTGGCAAACCAAATGCTAGATTCCTTTTAGTAGCCACATTCCAAGGCAATCATGAGGTCGAAGTCACATCAGCTGCATGAATGTTTGCCAACAGGAAGTTAACTGCACTACACTGCGACATGCTGGCATGCTTGGCCACCGAACTTCGTGTTGTAAAGTAGCGCATTTTCACACACTTCCTCCACCTTGAATGCTTTTTAGGCGAAGTTTCCAGCAGTCACCCCAAACTTTCCGAAACAAATAAGATTTCCCTGAAAATTCTAGGTGTTTAAGTCACAATCTTGTAACATAAAAATAAAAAGGTTTGCAGTAAAGTGTTAAAAAAGAACACATCAATCGCCTTTTCTTTTTGTTCAATGAATCTTTTTCAAGCATTTTACAATAGACATTATTCAAAGACGAATGTGACGGCAGAATGGCCAACCAATCGTATTCTGTTGGTTTTCTTGGAATTGCATAGTATGCTAGGTTACAGCAATTCACATTACATAAGGAAACCACATTTCACAAACAGGTTTATATAATGTGGGATTCACTAATGCCTGTTTGAATAATGTCACCAGAGCAAAGAAATTGCAGCTGGCTAGCTATGTCGCAGGTGTGTGTTAAATATTCATAGAGCACTTTAACTTCTCATTCCTCCTCATAAAATGCCATGTTTTGGCAGTATATCCTGCCTAGATCATTTATGTTCCTACCCAAGGCACCCAAATGCAAAATAAAGCTACTTCTGTTAGCCTCCTAATTATCTCTAACTAAAATTTAAAAAAAACAAAAAAACTCTTGACTATTTCTTTTGTTTCTTCCTTCTCTTAAACAGCGTCCAAAAAATGGTTGATGCAAAAGACTATAGCCGTTTGCTGGTCCACCTACAGCTCAGTAATTACTGCAGTTCAGCACAGTTTCCCATCTAATTTGGCGGAACCACCGCATATCTAAAGCCGGCAATAAAATTCCAAGTGGAGCTGACAAAAATAGGCAGCAATATTAGCAGCCTCCATTACGACGTGCATAAATGCACACAAGAGAACCGAATAATATTTTTAAGTTTTACATGCATGTTCTACTAAATTTGATTGTTTCGCTGCTTCTCCAACTTTGCCGCACAGTTATTATGCTTAGAATTGGCAGCACAGAGATGAAGTAATCCACATCTGTGGCTGGAATGCAGTCTAGCGGATTACAAAGCTTTTGGGCACAGTTCCAAAGGGACCAGGTGCAAAAACCACAAAGGAGAGGGTATTTCAGTAGGTGCCAAATTTATCTCTGTCTCGCGTTGCGGTATTCACCATCCTAGCTAGCTCTTTCCTGACAAGCCTTCTCAAGGTTACATTTCACGAAAAGGCAAACAACCTTACTTGTAATTACACAGCGATTTTAAGCAGCGCTGTGACATTTAATGACATCAGCATTGTTCTCTATGCTCTAGTTATTTAGCCACAGATCTCAGTATTTAGGAGGAACATCCAATGTAATTTCAGCTGGGCTTTCTTCTAAAAGCAAGACCTGATCACGTGCTTGACCAAATGTATGTAATAACATTTGAGTGCAAACAAAGGTAGAGACAAGGACACTGTGAGATTATGCAACAAAAATGCTCTAAAACAAGATGGTATTTAGTAAAGGAATTTTATGTCTGTAATGGGTAGACTTTTAAGAAGACAAAATAACTTGTGCATACATGCCTGTATATTTTTTTTTAGACTCCTGTGAGACATTGATTAATAACAGAGCATTCAGCTCAGCAGTATTCTGCAACCACACAGGGGCTTGCAGCAAATTAATTTGCACCCCCTTTTCCAAGTGGGTGCTTCAGCCACACCTATTACAATGGATGGTGAGATTGTCCGAGGGTGATGGCCAGTCTTGGGTAGTAACGCGTTACTAGTAACGCGTTACTGTAACTTCGTTACTTTTTTGGTAACTTGTAACTGTAACGAGTTACTTTTTAAAACTGTAACTTGTAACTGTAGTTCTATTACTTTTTTTGAGGTAACGATGAAAGTAACGGCGTTACTTTCGTCGTTACTTTCCAGTTTTTTTATGAATAATATATAATTGAACGAGTACAATCAAGCTATTCCTTGCACTTTCCATATTGTCTGTTCCGACATTTCGAGTGTCATGTTGGCCTTGCACAAACTTGTGAATACGTTCTTTCTCGCGAGTCATGACCCGAATATAGCCACGTGTAGATTTGATGAAAAATATATAATTATCTTTACGCACGTGCTTGTACTTTATGACTGAACACTTACATCTAAGTAACTTGAAGCACTATCTATGTTGCGGTTTCTCTTTTTTCTGCACAAATACTTTTTAATCCGGTGAATCAACCGTAAAACAACAATTCACGCGGAGGGCGCCGCCCATGTTTCGTATTTTGATTAGCGACACTACTCCGCACTGCGCATGTTTCGTATCTTGATTTGCGCCACTACTCCGGCGTAAGGTCAACAGTCAAGATTTTCTGCTCTTTGCGCGGGGTTTATTTCTAAGTTGCCGGGTGCGAGCAGAAATATGTCCAGGAACTTTATAAACCCAGCGAAACCGTCAACGAGCCAGGAATGTGCTAGCGCTGCCAAGGATAGGGATGTTGATGAGAACAAAGAAGAACTACCATGGCCGGCGTACAGGGAATATTTTGCTGTGGTGAATGTGGTCGCTAACAATTTGACCGCAGCATGCAAACTTTGCAAGAAGGAGTACTTTACCAACAAGTCGTCGTGTTCTTCTTGTATTTTGTACCGTTCGTAACCCTCTCTATTTTTAGGTTCGCTGAAGACCTCAACTGTGACGAACTTCTTCTGGCTGCCGTAGTACATGCCAAATTCAGGTTGTCATGGATAGATGACAACGGACATCGTGATTTCGCAGTCCGGATGTTAGGTGACTAGGTGTAAAAGAGATGGCGCTGCTGCCAGCGCAGACGAAACATTGACAAAAAAGTCAACCAACGATAATAACGACGATTCTTTTTTTTTCCACCACGCCCCAGCGTTATGTCTGCCAGTGAGGCGCAACGGTGGGGAAATGAAACTTCGTAAGATACGGCACCCTGTTGCCTCAACGCCTACCCGGCAATCAAAAACCTGTTCCTGCGGCACAACACAGCAATTCCATTCAGCGCGCCAGTTGAACGCCTGTTCAGCAAGGGCAGGGACGTATTCGCCATCAAACGAGGGAAACTTTCTGACTCAAATATCGAAAAGCAACTGCTCCTAAGTTATAATATGAAGTAAAAAGTGTACTTTTTTAATTTTATGCAATAAAACTTGGTGAGGGCCTTTTTCAACTTTTTCCTAAATTTCTTGTGTAATAGAAAAGTAACTGAAAAGTAGCGTCGTTACTTTTTAAAAGTAACTGTAACTGTAACGATTTACTTTTTTGTTACAGTAACTGTAACGATAACTTAACTACTTTTTTTCTGAAAGTAACTGTAACTGTAACGAATTACTTTTTAAAAGTAACTTACCCAAGACTGGTGATGGCCTCATCTATACTTCGTTTCAGCTTCGGTCCAGACGAAGCCGATGCTACAAGCGCGAGCATGTGGCCCAGAACAGTGCTTGCACTGCACGAGCGCGCGTGCTTGGCAGGGATGCTGAAAGCCCGGAGCTCGCGCTTGTAGCTTTGGCTGCGTCTGAACCGAAGCTGAAACGAAGTATAGAGCGTTTGTTCTCTTGATAGGTTAAGAGAACATGGTGCGGCTGTGAACCGAGGTTAGAAGGCACAGTCATCCTGGGGGTGTTGTATAGACAGCAAGAAACAAGGAAGATTGCTGAGGCGTATAGCATATCTCAATATGGAAATGATGCATGTGTAAGTGCACCCTCAATCGCTGTTTAATAAAGAACTGATGTTCCTGAGGGCATGTGTCTGATAATAGCCTTAGTGCATGACAAGGTGATAAGGATTAAGTCCTATTTAATCACGGCATTTTTATGAGTTGCTTTCCAATAAAATTCAGTCGAAAGTCTGTGCTCTGTCTGTCTACGTCTCCTCGCGTCCTTCATCATGTTTGCGCCGTTTTTAATCGTCCTTATGCAGAGCCGTATATAGAGAGAGTTTGGTCCATGGGACGAGTGGACAGAGCCAGGACGTGCACCAGACACAGAAAGAGGGCTTGACCTACTCCCTTGGCCAACCAGAAGCTGAAAATAATCCCCTAGCGGTGGTAGCGAGAAACAGTTTTAATAAGTGCATAAGAGTTACATGTAGTAACCCTTCCCGGTTGAAAATATAGTGCATGTGATGTTTAGATTATGATCATGCAAAAAGACAATAGTAATAATAATAATGTTCATTTTCCGTCAAAACACAAATGACGGACGGAGATTGAGGGAAAAAGCTGCATCATGCAGCTTAGCGGGCCCTCGGCCCCCTCTCCTTACACAGGGCAGCAGTGGCACAAGTAATCCAAAAAGAAAACCAAGAGAAAAGATAACAATTTCAGAGATAAGAACAGGACAATATAACAAAAAAGGTGCAGCTATATAAGAGGCAAACAAAATCAAAGCACCATGCAAGCACAGCATTATTCAATTCAGCAAAAATTTAGGTTATGAAACATGACAATTAAGCAATCACATTTGGAAAAGAAACAAATGCTCGGAAATTTTTTACAGATGTTGTCAGAAGATCAATGTTGTGAGTAACAAGAAAATTAAGCAGTCGTGGAAGTGCATATTTTAACATTTGTTCATCGTAGTTAGTTTTGCAAATAGGGAGCGTCCAAATTTCCGTGTTTCGAGTAGGATATGTTGCTACTCTTGGCGAGAGAGACGCCAATTCACAAAGGGCATGAAGATTTGATGCAAGAAACTAATCTGCCGCTCGAATTCTGTTTTGCTCCGACAAGATCTGACAGCTCAGACGTCACATGTCCGGCCTTCAGCGCCTTGCGTACAGATTCTGCCGATCGTTCTGCTAGTCATGTACATTTTTTTTATCTTCTCTATATCTTCCACCATGATTTTGCATGACTGTAATTAAAACATCCCGTGCACCATATTTGCAGTCGTTGACAGTTACTCCGACAAACATATTAGTTTCATTTCTCGCAACCACCGCCAGGGTATTATTAGCGGCTCCTGGCTGGCCACATTCAAATTTGTGAAGACACCCTGGAACACACTCAGCCTGCGTTCAGCCAATGGCACCGCCTGATTTGCCTCCAGAACTCCCCAATGAATGGCCAAACTCTCTTTATATACGGCTCTGCCATTACAAACATCACACAGGGAATGGTCCTTTTTTTTTTAGACTGAATATTTTTGCATTTAATTTTAAAACAATCGAAGAAATTAGTTGAACAAAGCAGAAATTGAAGTAGTTCCAGAGGCAGCAAATTTATGTGCATCAGTTATAGTGACAAAGTCATTTGGTAGCATCTTCCAATCAATGATGGCCAGCAATAAGGTTGAATTACCGTATGAAGTAGCTGATGAAAAAATGGGCCGCAACTAACAGGAGTGGTCAAAGCGAGGGAAAAACTACCACGGGGGTAAACAAAGCGATTCACGAAGAGGCGTGTCGTGGTGAAAGATACGGTGAAGCAGAGAAAGATGGGAAACTCCAATGAAAGTGTGTGAAGGTTAGCAACTTCGTGCAACCCAGATGTGCTCGTGAATTATGAGTAATCACAAAAAATAAAGTGCAGAGCTCCGTTTTCAATGAATTCGAGCTTTATAACCAAGTAGGACTGCCAAGGGCACCATACAGAAGCGAATTCAAGCTCAAACCAAACGAAAGTTCAGTACGGGCTCTAAGCATTCTAAAACACAACATTACAGTCACGCGTGGCCGATTTCTTTATCAAAATCATTATCAAAATACGAACACCAGATGATGTCGTCTCCGCCCAACATTACTAGGGTACCTCGGTCGTGGAACTCCCGCAGACGTGGGAACCCCCTCACTCACTTCAGTCTGCCTCGATTATTTGAAGCGCCATCTAGATTTTTGTTTCAAAACTGTGTGTTCTATAGAGCATTATGCATTGAAATGTATGTATACCATGGAATACACTGCAGTTATTGTAGCAGCCGTCCAGCGGTCGAATGATGGCGGACGGGGGTACTGCTTGTGCAAACGGCATCTATCGGCAGTATCGTAACTGAGCTAATCGAATAATGTTGCCAGAGCCCTGCCATTCCTCACGCTTGCTGTCGACGCGCATGAACCTAATGTTTGGTTGTTTTTTTTGGATGCTTAGAGCCCATGTATTGAGCTACGACCATAGATAGGCGATAACAAAAAGTGGTATAGTGCCCCTTTAAAGCAAAATGTTTTTGGGGAGTTTAGCATCCCTTTGAGCTGGCAGACGTACCTTTCTTTTTGGCGGGCACGGCATAGGTGATGTTCTTCCAGTCGAGGTAGACTGCGTTGCAGCGCGGCTGCTGCAACGGGTCGGTCGGCCGGGAGGCCGGTCCGTCCATGTCCACGCAGGGACTGCCGCCATTTTGGAAGGAGACCACAAAGTCGTGCTTGGGTTCTGGACACGCCCCTGCTTGGTTGCAGACCGCCAGCGTGGAGCCTGGGGCAAGGAGACGAACGGAGGGGCAGAGATGTCGTGCCAGTTATTACCTCGTGTCACGGATACCCTTCTTTCATACTAGAAAAAAAAAAAGACGCTGGGTTCAACTTTAACGTCTACTACACTCTTGTGCCGCTTAGGAACCATAGTCACTGACAAAATGAGAATAGCAGGATGTGACAGAGTGAGAACAGCAGAGCCGGCTGCATGCACACGCTCCAACTGCACGGGACGCCAAAGATTCGTCGAAGGTAGGAAAACTCGTGCTGAAGGCGGGTCAGCTGAAACTTCACCCTGCTGTTGTTTCCTTGTCAGTGACTAATGAATTTCTTGGTATTTATTCAGTTTAAAAACACACTGGCCATATTTAGGAAACTCATACAAACCATCTGCAGAGCGGTGTACAGTAAGTGCAAGTGAGGAGATATGGAAAGTTTAATTTAAATGACAATCCATACATTTGGCCTCAAATTGCACGAGGATGCAATTAAATGTGATTTCATTCCATTTAATTGCGATGAAAGCTGGAGAAATTGTAAAATGAAGGTACATAAAGACAGCCATCACCTCCCAATATAAACCGGATGCAGTTTTTTGGAGGTGTTTTTTGGAGTCGTTTTAATCTTTTGATCCATCATGTCATGAATCAGTAGCAGTCTTGCGGCAGTACAAAGACTACAAAATGCAAGAAGCTGTCATATGCAAACATTATATCCCACTTAGTTATTCAATAGATTCTACTTTCTTTGATTAATTGATGAAACGATACTTGTCAGACGTTTCTGGCAAGTACCAGAGAAATATATTCCTCAATACAGGTCAAACAATACAAAAACACACTGTGGTATCTTTTGGAGTGCAAAAAACAGTATAAAAGATGCTTTGCACAAATCAAATGATTGGTTGTAGAATCAGGGCGCGTCATCCTTTGGGGAAGGATTAAATCGGGATAGCATAAAGGATGTTCCCCTTAAATGCAGATCCATGTCCAAATTCTGAAAATTACATTACATTTCTTTTTTTCTAGTGCCATTTTTTTTCTTCTTTTTTTTAATGGAATTGTTTGTATTTTGAACAAACCAAATGCTTCATATGTACTCGCTTAAAAAGCTATTCCACACTATGAGACCATGTTCCAGGATTGGATAGTAATAGGTATTGTGTCCTGTACTTTCATACAAAAATAACAAATACAGCTTTACTTTTTGTTATTCATATAAATGATATAAATGTAAACCATGATCCTAGTATTCAGTTGGCTGCATATGCTGATGACACTAGTATATTGTTTTCCGATAAAGATATTCACACTCTTATAGGCCGATGTAATTGTGTAGTTAAAAATGTCAACACAGACTGAAAAAATTCACCTCAGGCTAAACCCACAAAAAAACTAAGGCTATCTATCTAATTCAAAAGTCAAAATAGTCATGTTGAGATCACAAACCTCATGATTTTAAATACTGAAGAAATATATTTTGTTTATAGTGTTAAAACTTTGGGCATCGTCCTGATTGATTGATTACACTTGATCAAAACTTCCTAAAAAAGTGGGATTGCTGACAAAGTTTAAATATTTGTTACCTCATTGTGTAAAATTACGACTTTATGAATCATTAGTATCTTTGCAACTGAATTGCTGTCATCTAGAATGGGGAAACACAATAAAACTGAACTTAAACAAACTACATATTTTACCAAAAAAGGCTGTATGTGATATCGCTAATGTGTGATACCATCACAGTATCGAACACTTTTTTTTATTTTAATATAAGACCCATTCACTGTGCTTATCAATACAGACTTTTTGTCACCTACAAAAAGACTCTACAGATAGCAAATAGTTTCCCTCTGTCCTAAAGAAAAATGGCTCGTTACAGCATCGCACACACAGTATTTACGTCAGACATTAAATCACGAATTGGGGTTTTGGATATTGGATGTAATGACACAAGCGGAGGTATGTGCATATTTTTAAGGCTTTTGTCTATCTTTTTGTACACAGGTTAGCGTAAAGTGTATAAAAATACTGCAATTGCTGTACGCTGTTTTGTTATGTTTTTTTTTTTTTTCTTTTTTAAGTCGTTTTTTTTGTGCTTTAATTAATGTGTTTATTTAACATTGCACTATTTTCTTTTTGTGCCAACTGTAAGGGGGCCGAGCATTCGTCAAGCTGTCACAGCAGCTTCTTGTTTGGGTCCCCTGTTTCTAAAACTAACGAAATAAATATGTATTAATTTATTTATTTATTTTACATACCCGAGACTGATCGAGGGCAAGCTGCACCTCTGGAATAATAGCTGCACAGGCCATGAGCGTAACCCTACGCACGTAAAAGGTAGTTTGGGGGGGTTGAAGTGGCGAACCGTGCTGGAGCATAGGCTGGAGCAAAGGCGGCTACAACGGAGAGCTCGAAATCGTGCGACTTCGTATGTCTCCTCGACCGTAACGCAAGCAATGACCGCGAATTTACGGCAGAGATCAGCGAATGCTCGTACAGTGAAAGCAGCTCTCGCTCATAGATGTAGCTACAGTTAGGTAGAAAGCATATACGAAAAACTATTGTAAGAATGAAAACAAACAGAATTCGCGTGGGCGCTGCATCCGGGAATCGTATGGCTTTCCTGCAATGCCCGCCAAGATAGGAAAGCGCTCGAGCATGGAGCAGAAACAGGTTATGGAAATCACGCATCGTTCCAATGTCTCTCCTCTTCCAAGAGCCAAGAGGCTCGGATTGCTAGTAGCATCGGAGACCGCGATCGCTAGCAATGCTCAAGATCAATCCGATTTTTCGAAACGAAAGGGAAAACAATGCGTGGTCGTTTGACGCGGACCGCAAGAAATACCCGGCTGGGACAGCAAAAGAAATTTTCTCCCCATGTCAATACATTGAACTGAAGAAGGAAACCGGAATGTTTGACAGCACGCTGACAGGTAACTGTACTACACTAGAAATGGAGCACCGATTTTATCGGTCGTTTGACTGCGGTCGCGGTCGTGTCTTTGGCAGAAGCGGGCCCAGATTTGACAGCATTAGAACTTTAACGGTCTATTTGATCGCATGTCGATGAAGAGTGTAGAGGAGTGGCACATATACCTGTGGGTACTGCACGGCTGCGATGGATCAAAGCACCGCGTATCCAAAACTAGGCCACAGGCGAAGCATCATCCGAAAAAACGGCAAAACTGGCCACGACCCTCACCCACGCATGCGTGTCACTAACGGATTGCAAACACACCGCGCGCCTGCGCGCTGCGTCAAATGGATGCGCTTGCGTGCGCTGTCGCGGTGGCGCCATCTATGGAGGTAAGCTGAAACTGTGGTTCCTCCGCGGGTTCAATTTGTTCAAATTGGGGACACTTGGAGCGTAAGCGCGAAAAGAAACGGAATTCGAAAAGGGATTGAAGACAGAAAGAAAGAAATGTGTTCTCCATACGATAAGATGATGGCGAATGCAAATACCGTCGCGTTCCCGGACAAAATGGTCCCGCCAAAAATGCCTCGGGGCAGAATGGCCACAACTGCAAATCTAGGCAATATGGTGCCGTGTTTCGCATTCTTTTTCAACGTTTTGCTGCTGCGAGTTCTAATTCAGCGAGCGTTTGAAGTAAGTAAAATGTAATAAAACTCATTAATGAGTTATTACTTGCTTTCAACAAACATAATTTTCCACCCTTCCCAACAAACTTCTAACGCATCTCTCCTTGGTCACCTCCATACACAGGTTTATGAGCCAAAATAATTGGGAAAAGGGGCCGATATCGAGAGGTTAACCTCCTATGCGATAATAACAAGAAAATATCCATATTTTGCTAGTTTTTTTCTTTCTTTCTTTTTTTATTATAATAATAGCAGGACAACCTCCTCACACGACGCCCCTCACATTTTCCATCTCAGCTTTCAACAGAGCGAACGCCGCAGAGGGGGAAACCAGCAATCACGGCGAGCAGAGAGCTTTGTGGGAGGAGCTGGACCTGCTATTCTTAACGGGAACAGGCCCACTCGTCACACCCAACTTGTCACAGGAAAACTTGTCATAGGTCAACTGGTCAAAGAGAGCGTCTTGTACTAGGTGAACTCGTATTAGGGAAATGGTCGCAATGACCTTCTCGTCACAGGGAAAGTCGTCAAATGTTTTCAGTTCGTTCGTCACATTTCTTACTTATTTTTTTTTTTTTTTATCTTGTTCGCTAAACAGTCTACCATCCCACAAGGGTGTATTGTCTTCCGCTGTGACCCCTCTTTTTCATTGTAACCACTTTTCACGGTTCCTTTTAGAGGGCAGATTTTTGTAAGGGGGATGCCAAGGTTCTATAATCTTAATAGGTGACTTTAATATTGATATGACCTCGCCTGTGAGTGGATCCCTTGAACTACTTGCTATTGTTCAGTCCTACGGATCTGATAATGTAATAAACTTGCCGACTAGAATCACGGTGGAAACACGAACGCTAATTGATCTCTGTATTACAAATTGTCATACCGAGGCTGCTAGTGTATTTTCTTGTGATTTAAGTGACCATTTTCCGATATTTAGTTTTGTTGTCGGTCCAGTAAATTTAAAATTGAGCTCTAATATTGCGGCTGAGACATTTAGAAGAATTGATAATAGTTCGGCTGTTTCATTCTAGGGTATCGAATATAAACTGGGAGTCGGTAGTAACTGAAACGGAACCAAATAAATCATATGGTATATTTTTGGACCTCCTACAAAAGTGTTTCAGGAGTCATTTCCATGGCAAGAGTTTAAAAAATATAAAAAGTAAAAAAAAACAACCTTGGATCTCAAGTCCGTTATATAAGTGTATAAAAGAGCGCAATAAATTATATGATAAGTTCGTCAAGACAAGAGATATCTCAATATTACAGGAATTTAGGAAAGTGAGGAAAAAGCTCAACGCTGATATCAAGGAACAGGGATGGGCAGTATTTCAAATACAAGTATTTGAAATACGTATTTCAAATACTTTGTGTATTTTGCATTTGTATTTAATTACAA